CTTTTCAATACGCTGCTGCTGTTAAAATTATACTTTGTTAATAGGTATTCCTAACACATCTCTTCAGTAGTAGCTATTAAAATGCACACAAGCAGTGAATATAAAAATAATTTCAGGCTGCAGGTACTTGAAAAAGAGATATGAAAAAAAAATATATGTAGAATTATTATATATACATGCAGTATTACCTAAAGCCTAGTAGCCAAGGGAAAATTGCCAGTGGGAAATTATGTACTCTTTTATAAATTATATGTGGCTACTTAAGTGTTATCCTTTTTTGTACTTCTGGACACAGGACAAGTGTTAGCTTTTCATTATACTTTTTTTGTGGATCCATATTTGCTTGATTCATTGTTAACATCTGTAGTTTTTGCTCTTTACAATGGTAATGGCCTTTAAATATGTGCAACAGAATCTTATATCAAATATCATTTCATAATTCTTTTCAAAAGGCCTTTGCTAAGAAGGCAGCACTAAAAGGTGGCTTGGATAAAACTGTGAGTCTTCGAAAGGATTTGTCAGAGATGCATGAATGGATAACGCAAGCTGAAGAGGAATATCTGGAGAGGGATTTTGAGTATAAAACACCTGATGAATTACAGAAAGCAGTTGAGGAACTAAAGGTAAAAGACAGACTGACTTATTTAATTTATGTCAGAAGCTCTTGGAACAGGATTTGCACACAATCTGTTTGCTCATTTAAAAGAGTTGCCTTTTTATATCTCTTAGGGAAATCTGAAATGTGAAGCAATAGGTAGCTTAAAGTAATTTGTTTCAATTTGTAGTCTGTTGGAAGACATTTAAATCTTCACAGTACTTCATTACTTTAGATTTTGTTTTTTTGTTTTTCTGTTGCCTTATTGAATTCCGATTCTTTGCAGAATCAGCATTGATTTAATTGGAAAATAATGTTCAAGGAATCAGTTGTTAGCAGTAGTTAACCACTAGGGCTAGGGACAGACATTCAAAAATCCAGAGCCTGAATTAATTCAGTCTTTGCAGGTTAATTAAACCTGGCTAGGTTAAATCAGTTTTGTAATTGGACAGACAACCCAGAAATGCAGGCACACGCGTGCAGTCGCTCAGGCTAGAAACCGGGGGATGCAGAGCAGCCCTCCCTCCCTTACACAGGGTTGAGCTGAAGGGGCCAGGCCCTGGCAGGATGCTCTGATTATTCCCTCCACCCTCCTGAGCAGCCCAGTGGGGAATGTTTATCACCCCTAACTCAGTGTTTATCAACTCATTAAGAAAACAAAGTCTCTCTCCATTAGCTAATGTAACTCTTCTTATACAGCTTTTCCAAGGAAAGGCATTAAGCTACCTGTCTGCTCCAAAAAGCCTGTCTACCTGTCGTCTCCCACAGCACGGACTGTAGTCAGCATGTGGTCTGCTAGCTAATGCTGAGGTGTCTGCTTAAGGTAGAGGGGAGGGGGGGAATAATTCCAGTTTAGCAGGGGGAAGCCAGGCAGATGCTCTGTGCCTCCAAGTCCATGCCGGAGCTGCAACCAGGGAGCAGAGGGGAGGGGCCAGCCCTGCTGTGCAGCAGAGAACCCCACTCAGCCCAGAGAGCATGCTGGGATGTTGGCGGTCTCTGGTTTATCTTAAACCAGCAAGAGATCTGGGACAGACATTGCATAAACTGGTTCGACCCAAATCAGTTAAATTGGATACTACCTTCTTTATCTCAAACCGGTTTCAGCTATTTTCCAACTGGTTTATGTGCACTGAACATCTGTTATGTTACAGATTTAAACCAGTTTCTGATCACTTAAACTGGTTTATGTGTAACATCTGTCCCTAGCCTAGATAATTATTTGATAAACCTGGGATAGATCAGTTTTGTCTGAACTATTAAGAAAGAGCACAGGTGAGAGTAAGATTGAACAGTTGTCACCATTTTATCAGCTAACCATTAAGCTAGTCTATATGAATCAAACACTGTTTTCACTAATTATTTTTTAAATTTACTGTAAGGTTGTCATCCTCTGTTCCTGCATTTCCTTTACCATTCTTCCTTTCCTCTCCACTCCCCAAAACATTATCAAGGGCCTTCCCAGCACAGCTCTTACCACAGGAAATACCATCATGTACACGCATACATGCATGCACATGCGCGCGCGCACGCACACACACACACATACACACACACATGTGTATTGTAAACAAGGAGAGGACTCATAACAAAGCAGTCCCATACTAGTGTAGCTTATTTGAATCCAGTATAGAATTGCCTTGGGAGAAATCACAGATAAAACTGCAATGGTCAACTTGTACTGTGTATCCACAGTTTACTTCAGCTTGCATAGCAGCTTGCATAAGCCACACAGGCGGGTACATTCCTCCCCCATGAGCTAATGATGAAGTGAAGTTATAGCAGTGTAGCATGAAGTGCAGCAGGCAGCAACCCCAGATAGCTGCTAATCTGTCTCTTCCAAGTCTTGGTGTCATTTCACCTTCTATCTGTATCTTTCTGTTAGATTTGTAATCCGGGTACACCCAAGGGTGTATCATATCCTCAATTGGATTGGATGAATAGGCAAGAGCGGGTGCTATGAGAGGGATGCCAGAATTTAGGGCGGATTCCTCGTTCCTCTATAGAGTTAGCCCACGCCGAAAGTTCTTGACTATACACAATTTATTGAGTTACAAACATTTATATATAAACTCATTAAAATAGATACAGGTACAGGTATAGATACAAATATACATATAAAGGTCTGTAAGCATGATGCAGTCTGCCCCAGGGAGGGCATTCAGGTAAGTACCCTTGCCCAAGGCCCAGAAGAGGAGCGCAGGACAAAATGCAGGACAGTCAATCCGGCAAGTCTATACCACAAGGGGGTTAACTAATAAAAACATCCTTACAGAGCCCATTATACAGAATTAATATACCCAGCTATATACAACACATTCATAACCCTAACCAAACCAAGAATAACAATAGATACAAAGGAAAAAGTATAACTATACCAGATATTAGATGCACCCTATCTGGGTTCCAACCGCTCGGTCCCTCAAGTGGGATAGGGTCTTCTAACCTTAGACCCCTTGGGTGTTCCACAGAACCCTTCCCAGTGTGTATTTGGGTTATACTCCCTTTCTACCATGGGGAGCAGAGGTTGTGTGGGGTCTCCCCCGCCACTTGCCCACTCCTCCCAGGGTCCCCTGCCAAGGAGTGCCTGCCTTGCAGGACCCGGGTTCCCAGTAACTCATGGTCCTTCGGCGCTGTCCGCAAGGACAACTCAGGCCTTCTGGAGTTGTCAGCCTTGAGCTGGGGGCCCCTCCCTCTGGGCCTTTTGCCCTGCGCTGGGCACCCAGAGAGCTCCTACTAGAGCTGAGCCCTCACTGGCTCTGGTTCCCTGGCCTCATGCCAGAGGTCTTTCCCCTTCCTAGGCCCTGCTCTGGATGCTGGAGCTCTTTTAGTTCAATGAAGAGCCACACTGTGGTGATCTGGCTACTCAGCCTAAAGCCAAGTAGGAGGGCTAACTTGAGCAGCCTCAAGTTGCTCTCGGGGTTCACTCTCTGTGCACCGATCTTTGCACTGTGCGGGGCCCAAGCAGCCTTGAGCTGCTCCCAGGGCAGGCTCCCCATGTGCCAACCTGTGCACCTTCGAAGCTCAGGCCGGGTTCCGATGACAGTCTCTTCAGAGCTCCTCTCTCCTTGCCGTCCCTCACCGCATCTGCCTCGTGCAGCTCACAACACTCCTATTGTTCTCTCAGGGGGCTCCACTCCCTGAAGTCCAGCGGACCTGCACTTTGCAGGTTCCATTTAGGTCCAGGAGCTCCTCGCCCCCTCCCTTCAGGGAAAGGGTGGCACCAGCTCCTTCCAACACTTTGGGCTCCATCAATCAAAACTAAGAATTTTCGGCCTGGGACGTGACAGGGGCCCGAGTGGGTGAGTCCACCACAAATTGATTAACAAAGTTGACTTAAATTACAACAGTGTAGACATGCTGTACATCTAAGCCCCAGAAATAGTGAGACTGACTGTAAAATTATGTCAAATGTTCTAAGTACTCACTGGAGAAAAACATTCTGTCTTTCAATACTAGCAGACTTAAGTAATAATTTTAAAAACAGTCACTAATAAAAAAAACACTCAAAATTTTCTTGATCTACCAATTGATGGAAAGTGGTTTTAAAAGTAGTTAACTGGAAATAACATGCAAAAGATATTTAATCCACAAGTAGTGAGGTATTGTGGTACATATGCTTGGAACACTCATAAACTATATAGTTGAAAACAACTGTTTTCTTCTTCTGAATGATCCAAATAGTTGTTTAATTGTGCAATACATGTATTCATTATTCACAGTAAACATATCTATTACCTCAAAAATGAAAGCAGACTAAATGATGTTTTGTCGTATTGTATTTGTGTTTTACAGAGGGCAAAAGAAGAGGCTGCACAGAAAGAAGTGAAAGTGAAGCTTCTCACAGATTCTGTGAATAATTTTATAGCAAGGGCTCCGCCTGCAGCTCATGAGGCCTTAAAAAAGGAACTTGATGTCCTTATTACCAACTACCAGCGACTCTGCAGCAGGTTAAATGGAAAGTGCAAAACTCTGGAGGTCAGCTATTTTGTTAGCCTTTAAAATTACAGTTACTCAGATGGCACAAGTGAAATGCAAAAGCTTATGCATCTCTGATTTAGGCTGTAAGGTGCAAATCTACCCTACCTTTTACAAGTTAAATAGTCACCAGATGGATTGGCATATTATAGACCTTTACCCTTGCCACCTTTGCTTTTGTCATGATAAATTGTGCTCATATTGATTTAAGCTGATATAAACTTGATTAATCGTACAAAAAAGCAATAGTTATCTTAATGTAACATAGTAGTACAATTGGTGGTTTGGGCCATAGCAACCACTAGTTACCTAATACAGAGATTTTGAATTAGGAATAGATGGTAAGGTTTAAGGGAGAGTTCATAAGATATGGTACAGGCTTTTGATTAGCTAAATACTTTTAGTCTTGTAAGAAAAATAGAGCTGGGGAGGAAGGGGCATATATTTAATCCCCCAAAATATTTCAGTTGGGGTGTACATTTTATTTTCAGCATCTCAATAGTCCTCAGATGTTTCATCATCATGGCAGGGGTGTCAAACTCATCTGGGTTCTTGGGCCAGATCTTACTGTGGGGCTCCTTGTGGGCCAGATCTAGCCCAGGGCATGGGCAGCATGGGGTATGGTAGTGACACCAGTGATAGGTCTAGATGTGTGGGAAGGGGTCCAACACCAGTGGTGGATCTAGATGAGGCAAGGGATCAGTGACAACATGTAGCAAGAGTTTCAGGTCTGCACCAAGCTCACTGCCACTGGTCATGGCAAACATGGCCAAAGACCCCAGATTCTGCTGCAGGCTATCCCCCCCCACAACTTCCAGTGCTTTAAAAAATGCCCAGTGCTGTGACAAAAGTAGTTGTATGAGCGGCAAAATGCATGTCAGGACAAAGAAAATGGTGGCGGCTCACACCTCGGAGGTGCTTTAGCTCAAAAGCGTACTGCTGCCATTTTCTGTACACTGATTCGCATTTCACCACTTATACAACTGCACGCAATGCAGCGTAGTGCACGTCAGCTCACGTGTGGGGCAGACTCGATTAATCTGCTCTGAAACAGCGGATCTCCAGTGCGTTGTAGGACAAAAATGTACATGTATAAATGCCTATTGGTGCTTGAAAGTGTTCTGACCATATATGGAATTCTTATAGATATGAAACTCTAGAAAAAACTCTACTTTGAACTGTGTTATATGCCAACTATTTATGAGATCTTTTTTTTCCCCACCGTGATGTATTATCTTTTTTTAAAATATGTGATGACAGCATTTATATAAGCAGGGGTTGAAGCGTATAAGGAAAAATAGTTTGGTGGGGAAGGTCTGTCTTGCTGTTTCAAGAGAGACTATAGGCTTATTTTCATCTTTTTTTTTAATACAGCATGGAAATTTATAATATGGTCAGTACTTTTATTTTGTACTTTTATTAACCATTAAGGCTAGAACCACATATTTTGAATGATAAAATTCATAGAACAATTATATATGACCATTTGCAATATTTCTTTTAATTCTAATTTTCAGTCTCAATATACATTTTTCACCAGGAGGTATGGGCATGCTGGCAAGAGTTATTGTCCTACTTGGATGCAGAAAATAAATGGCTGAATCAGATGGAATCAAAACTCAGGGCAACTGAAAATGTCCAGGGAGGTGCAGAAGAAATCTCAGAGGCCCTGGATGTAAGTGCTATCTTAACTGGTATCAGATATCAAGTTGTATGTTATAGCAATACCATTTTAAAAACTGTGTTCTATTTGAAAGAAATCATGATATTGGCAATGCATTCATCCCAGCCAAAGCTTTGTCTAGCCAGGTCTTGAAAACCTCCAAGGATGGAGGTTCCACCCCTCTCTGGGTAGCCTCTTCCAGTGCTTTACAACCCTCCTAGTGAGAAAATTCTTCCCAATATCTAATAACCTAAACCTAATAACCTAGTGAGAAAATTCTTCCTAATAACCTATACTTCCCTTGCTGCAACTTGAGACCATTGCTCCTTGTTCTGTCATCTGTTACCACTGACAACAGTCTAACTCTATCCTCTTTTGAATCCTCCTTTAGGTAGTTGAAGGATGCTATTAAATCCCACCTCAGTCTTCTCTTCTCTAGACTAAATAAGCCCAGTTCCCTTAGCCTATCTTCATAAGTCATGTGCCCCAACCCCCTCACCATTTTTGTTGCCCTCTGCTGGACTCTCTCCAGTTTGTTCTCATCCTTTCTGTAATGGGGGACCCAAGACTGAACACAGTACTCCAGATGTGGCCTCACCAGTGCTGAATAGAGGGGAATAATCACTTCTCTTGACCTGCTGGCAACACACCTACAATGCAGCCGAGTATGCCATTAGCCTTCTTGGCAACAAGGGCACACTGCTGGCTCATATTCAGCTTATCATCCACTGTAACCCCCAGGTCCTTTTCTGTAGAACTGCTGCCCAGCCACTCAGCCTTCAGCCTATACCAGTGATTGAGATTATTCTGTCCTAAATGCAGGACTTGCAGTGATGTCAATAGCAGTCAGTGTGGTAGAGGCGATATCTTTTATTAGGGCAAGTAGATAGTTGCAAAATTAGTTTTTATTTGCAAACTATTGGGCTCACACACCCTTCCTTGGGCAAAGGAGAATGCAAAGATTGTAAAATTTCTCCCAGGTAGAAATGGAACTTCATTTCAATAGAACTGTTTGCATGTTTATAATTAATCACATATATAATGCTTTGCAAGACCTGGGTCTTTGATTTTAGTAAAACATAGTGCAGAGAATTTAATGGTGTCAGTATGACATTTTATACTTTTATCTTCTGTCCCCGCTACAATTATGTTTGGAATGAAAGATTTCTTTCTTACAATCTAGAAACACATGATTGTTCATCAGAGTTTTTTTCTTGGTCTGAAAGAAGAAGACATGATAACATTTATGAATTTGTTTCAGTCTTTGGAAAACTTAATGCGACATCCAGAAGATAACCGTAATCAGATTCGGGAACTGGCACAGACTTTAACTGATGGTGGGGTCTTGGATGAACTGATCAATGAGAAACTGGAAAAATTCAATACTCGATGGGAAGAGCTGCAACAAGAGGTATGTATAATCAGTTATCTCATCTCTTATTCCTTCATGTTAAATAGCTGTCAATCTCCTAGCCCATCTCACTTCCTAAATAATACCATTTACTTCCTACTATATGATATTTGAAAATAAAAAGGTACAGTATTACCTTTGGATTGTTCCCAAACAATGCAAAAGGAATTCCTTTACTGTAGATTCTATAAGCAAGGGAATCGCTTAGTAAACCTTACATTTCAAAATCACAGTGTTCCTCCCTTGAAAGAATTGTATAGTAAATCTAATATTAAAGGGCCTATTCAGCACTTCTTACTCAAGTAAAACTCCCACTGGAAAGCAAATTGTGGTTTCAAAATTAAATGTCAAGTGTAATATTCTGTTACAGGTGTATTTTTCCACCGAGCATGTCAGAAACTGAATGTTCATGTCAATAAATAACTCTGTAGGAAAACTTCAATAAGGAAAATATGTTTAACATGAAGAATGTGAAATGTGGTTATCTGACGTAGTATTCATAATGTTTCTTCTTGATACTGAACAACCTTTATCTGCTTCACTAGGAATTACTTGTGGAAACATTGTTTCTAATCTTTTTACAGAATCTTCTCATTTGTTGACTGTTTTTTGAGAAATCAGTTCAGAATTTAGAAAATGAGAACATATAAATTTATACAGTAAACATTTAGTGTTCCCAGCCACGCCAGGCACAAAAACACTTGGATATTTTTAAACATTATTCCAATATCATTTAAAATATACTTTTACTTTCAAGAACTGATCTAAGCTGATAATGCCTGAAGCATGTAGTTTAGCTTACAGGAAAAAATACCTTAATTTTTAAAACATGAGGTAGAATAAACAAGTAATTGAGAGAGCTCTTTCTGAAATCAAGAAGCAATATGAAAATGGCAGTCGTGAAATAACTGGCCCAACCTGCAGTTGCTATAACAGTTATTTTCACAGACTGAAATAAGCATATGATAGCTGTCGTTCTTTTTCCAGTGCCATATTTATTTTCCTTCTCATTTTGAAAAGTTTCACCATTCAGCTACTGTGGTATAGGTCCATACCAGTAATAGAAAACAGATTCCAATTATTTTTCCCAGTTACACCATAGTGCATGATAATGATGAATTAGACTGCACTGGCTTCCCAACAGAATATGATCTGGGTACTACAAAGAGGTAAAATCAGGCAATAGATTAGAATTGATTATATTATTATTGAATATATGTCTCCTGTGGCCCTGATCGTGGGTATCAACCTTAAATAAAGTTAGAGAAATGTAAATGAAAATCTTTGATGAAAGGAAGAAAAGGAGTTGATTTTCATTTACTAAGTTTGAGAAACAACTAAAAAAAAGTCATGAGAAATGTGTCATTTGCGAAAAAAATTTTAAAAAAATTTTCAGTGAAAAATAAGGATTGGTGCTATACTGGGGAACTTGACTGATAGTAGTCATATGTAAGTCATAATGAATCATATCCTGAAATTTCCAAGATGTGGGTTTTACATCCCTCATCTTGGAAATTTCAGGATATGATTCATTATGCATCTACTATTAATGTTGTGTGTATTTATACAGGTGTATCAGATAGAGATGAGGGCAATAAATGCAAATGTCTTAAACTCCCATTTCAAAGACAAAGTTGTAATATGTTTTCTCCATTACTCTGGGACTGTGAGAAAGTACGGAAAACTTAATTTACTGTTCCTTATTTTAATGGAATAAACTGATATGAATCAAGTTATTTTACAAACAAGAAAATGGGGGATACTAATATTTTAATAGTTACATCATCAAGATTTCAATATTCCACTCTATCAGCTCTGACTATCATGGATTTCCAAACAAATCTATCTGCAACACTACAGAATCTACCTTTCTGCTCTCAGATCAGTCTCTAGAGCTGAGCATTTAAAACCATTGCCCCTTGCTGAAGTCTATCATAACTAACCAGTAGGTGATAGCTAAAGATTTCCTTCTTCAAGCTTTCTTTTATGCTGAAATAATTTATATTTGCATTGAGGTAAAGCAGTTTCTCTTACTGAAGTTCAGCCAAGATTTCCGTTTCTTTTAAGTTATGGTCAGTATTGGGACTTGTTGCTCTCAGTATGATGATTTTGATATTAATAAAACAAGTAACCAAATTCAGAGAATTATGACAAAAAATGCTCAGATACCCTAACTTAATTCAAATCCTCTGGGCATATCAGCATACTTGTCTGTCTTACAAGTATTACACCAACAGCACATGGTGACGTTATTAAAATAGCCTAAATATTTGGCATTCGTGTTCCATGAGTTTAAGTGAAAAAACAAGGTGAAAAGGATAGAAGACTTTAGCTTGAGGTGTCACCAAGTTTACAAGAGTATTGTAGTTGCCAAGTTTTGTTTCATCTATAACATTTCATGCAAATTATAAAATAAAATTTAACTTATCGTGAGACCATCTACTTTGATCAAAGACTTGGTAGACCATGGATCTTCACAAAACTGGGGAAGTAATGGGAAGACCTAGGATAACTGCATGGATACAAAGACTGTGGGAGATTGCTGAGGAGGTAGGTTTGTAGCAAGCAACTGGGTTTTCTAGTGGTTAAGGATTGCTAGGTGTCAGGGAAGTTTTAGTGGATAGAAATGGTAATGTATGATGTATGAAGTCTATGATAGAGTATGGAGTAGAGAGTACTGTGGCTGAGGTGGAAAAATAACTCCTGGGTAGATAGATAGTATTGGAGATTGGAACAGGAGATAGGTAGAGACTAGAGTAGGTGGTTGCTGGGGTATTTGGAGTACAGAGAGTACCTGAAGTCTTGCTGTCCAAGGTACTGTTGGATATAACACAGAGAATTTGTATTGGAAAAGTGGGAGTTGGAGCCACTGTTGGTGGCTGGGAGAGGGTGGGAAGAGAGGGAGATGGAGCCACTGGTGGTCTAGGATTCAGTTTGGGAGAACAGTCATGGTATAAATTCAAAAGTTGAAATTGTAGGTACACACCTGCTGGGTTCCCTCAGCTCAGGCAGCTGAGATTGCACCTGAGTTGTTGGAATGCTTAACAGGGCTACCAAAGATATATGAACTCCATGTAAGATGCATAATACCTAGCAGTCCTGATCATGTGTTTTGTAATGTTTTCTGCTCAGAAGGCGTCAGCTCATTCTAGGTCTCCTAATGGCACACGTGAATACACAGGGGAAGAATTCTAGAAAGCAATGTTACGTGAGTTGTAAGAGTGACAACTTTCTGCGTGTTTGCTTTTTCTGTAATGCTTGGAAATATATTTTGCTTCAGGCACAAAAGAAATGCTGAGATTATACAGTAAATTTTGGCTCAAACAGAAGCCCCAGGTATTCTAAACTTAAACATAGTCCAGTCTTCGGTAACTAACTGGGATAAACCATGGTCCGCTGTAGGACTCCAACTCAGTGACAGTATTGGTAGGTGCAACCACAACTTGCTTCATCTATTCCAAAACAAACTTTAATGTATCCATCGCTTTGGCTAAAATCTTAACTGCCTTTCTCTCTCCTCCCTCTTCCCCCCACCTCTTCTTTCTCTCACAGACCTCAAGGACCTATAGCCACCTTAACTATAACCTTTCATCTCCTCCTATCTTGTGCAATGATTTTTCACCTTGTCACATCTTTGCTTATCCATTACAAATAAGGTTTGATGTAATTTTCCCATTGCTGCTTTGGTCTGCCTCTAAATTGGGCATATTATTGTCTGCTTCCATTGTTCAGGCATTCTTTTCTCTCTTCAGATCTTCAGAATCATCTTGTGGAGATGGTGCTTTAATGCATCAAATCTGAATTTCAGGCATTCAACTGGAAGCCTCTCTATCCTTGGTGCCTTATTTTTGAATTTGTTCTGTATTTTTTTTCTCATATTAGTTAAAAGATAGAGGTTTAGGATAGAGTCAAGAGGAGAGTTCCCATACTTATACCACCAAAGGTTTCTACATGTTGTATATGGTTCTTATACTGGGCTTGTGCTTTTTTTCACCCAGAATTCTGCACAGAGGCAAAAAAAAAAAAAATGACAGTCGTGGAAAGACACAGAACCTCTCCTCTTTCATGCTGGGGCAAAAGAACACACTCAGTGGGCCAATTTGCAGCCAAGTATGATCATACTCCATCAAGGGTGTAATATGTCAGTATTCAGCCTAAGAGATTGTTTATAGACTTACTCTGTAAATGGGGAGGAGGAGGAGGTGCTTTAAGTGGGTGGCTCTGAGAGTCACTCTAATTAAAGTGCCCAGTATGTATCAGCATCCCTGTGCTGAAAAATGGCATCGGGGGTGCTTTAACTAAAGCTCATTGAACGAGCTTTAGCTAAAGCACCGCTGCCACCATTTTCAGGGGACACTGATACCTGTGATGCTGAAGTCTGCTAGAGTGCTCCAGCAGACTCAATTAATCGAGTCTACTCCGACACATTGTAATTACAGGAATAGGTTCAGTCTGCTCCTTTCCAAGCAGGCAGTTCTCTTCTTATTACTTGTGTTGCCAGTGAGAAAATGTCTTTCTGCCATGAAGAGACTAAGTGAAGATGAAATGGAGTCATCCCCACTTCCACAAGGACCCAAGTGGAATTTTTGTACCTGAAAGTTTTCCCACTTATGGCAAATAAGAACATAAGAACTGCCATTTAGTGGGTCAATCCACAGGTCCATCTTGCCCAGTATCCTGTGTCACAAAGTGGCAGAGAATGAATGCTGAAAGGGAGAGTGAACTGGGTATGACTAGGGTTTTACCCATTGTTCCTCTCCCACTTGCAGCATCCAACACTTAGAATTTAGACAAGAGGCAGGGTACATTACTGTGAGAGTGTAACAGGTTGGGTTTTTTTCCTCATTTGAAAAAAGAGCGTATTTTGTAACTTGTAGTATATATTTTAAATGTTTTAAAATCAAAGTAGCTTCCTTCTAATCACTCCTCTCAGAGTTACTTAACTGCTGTAAGAATCCAAGCTAGTTCCTTGGCTATATACATCCAATGCCCTGTATTGT